AACATGCTTGTGTCTGTCTCTCCTGTGGTGGTGCAGAGTTGTTGGGGCACTTGCATGCTGCTTTTCTGGGAGCTTGTACTTGCTGAAAGGAGGTTTGTCCTCAGGACAGTGGGGTGTGGAGCCCAGGGCTCTAGGCTGCACCTTCCCTGCCTCTCTCTCCCAGCGCTGCTCCATGGTCCTGGAGAGTGGTGACTCTCCAGGGCACAGTCAGGCCTCAGTGCCTTCTGCCCCTGTGCTTTGCCAAGTCCTGGACCTGGTGCTGTAACAACTGTACCTCTGATTAAAGGTAGACAGACCCGAACCGCTGCCCTGTGCTTCTTTCCATTTTCTGTAGGCCAGTGCCTGTCAGCCCTGGCATGGCGGGTGCAAGTGTTGCTGGAGCAGGTGTGGGGGTGCTTGGTGTCTGTGTGTGTGCGCGCAGGGGGATGTGCTGCCCTCCAGGGCACCCCTGCTAGGCTGAGCATTGGAGAGGAGAGGCCTAACTCCACTGCTTGCTAACCTCCAAACTGGGGTTGCTACCAATTCAGCTTTGTAGCTGCGTGTGACAGGGCTGCCCTGGGGTGTCTGAGATTTGGCCTTCCCCTGCAGTTTCCATCAGCCAGATGGAATTGCACCCCATTGCATCCCTCAGTGCTGAGCTCTGCGTGCTGTCAAATCCTGCCCAGGTCCTCTGCCTCTGTGCAGCAGGCAGGATGGGAGTGTGCAGTGGAGAGGGGCTCGGTGGCTGAGCTGCTTTTTCTTTTGAGTGCTTCTATTCTGGTGGGTGCAATAGGGTGTGGGGGCTCTGTGGTAAACCAAGCCCTGTAAGTGTTCTGCATTAAAAATAACTCTGCAGAAAAGGGAGTGGGGAGAAGAGGGAGGCTATTTTTAACCCAGCACGCAGCAGCATTTGGTTCTGGTGTTGGTCTGCAGTCAGCCTGCATCACTGCAGCTGGGGAAATGTGGCTCTTTCCTCGCCTCCCCTTGACTGCAGGGCATGCTTCCTAGCTGGATCCTGCTTCCTAGCTGGATCCTGCTGCCCTTAAATCATGGTCCCACTTCCCTGCCCCAGCTGCATTCTCTTCTCCTTTCCTGGCTTCTGTGCCTGGTAAAAGGAACAGTGCCTGGTGTGGCAGTACCCTACAGGGAGGGTGGTGACCCAGCGCAGGTCTGATGGAGAGGCAAAAGATCCCCCACCCCTGCCTTTGCTAGTGCTGTATGCTGCTAGCCAGCTCCTCCAAAACTGATCCAGAATGCTTGGTGCAAGAGTTGGATTGTTAGCCTTGCTAATACTTTTGGTGCTCTCTGTGTTCCTGGTGAGTGGGATCCCTGCAGCAACAGCACATGGCTCCCAGTTTGGAAACCCTCTAACCTGATGAGAAACTGAAGAGGTTCAATGCACTTGGCTTATCCAAGAAGGGATGAGATGTATGCAAGGAGAAAGGTTTGCTAGTAGGAAAAGTCCTGGTCAGCTGTTGGAGCATGGGGCATTTTGTTCATGTGGTGTGGTACAAAGGGGTTCCCACGCATGCTTATAAGGAGCACAGGGATTACCTTATCTCCATTTCTTCTCCCCTGAGGCACCAGGGGCCATTGGGATCAGGAGTGGGGAGGACAGCTATCAGACCATCAGAGCAAAAGCAACTCCACATAAGCAGTGGTGCCACCACCTTGTGGGCCCTGCCTGGCCACAGGGAAGGAACTTGGTGCCATGATGTGACACTGGCATGAAGTGGTGTCATGCTGGCAGACCGTGTCTTGCGTGCATGTGGATCTAAATACAGGAGGTGGGCTAGAGCATGTCATGGTATGAGAGTGCCTTTCTGAGTACTGGGGACTTTTGGGAGCATATGGGAGGTAACAGGTTGGAGAACCAGAGTTACAGCTGATTTTGGGCTTTTGGAAAAGCAGACAGCCCTAAAGAAACCTTTGCAAAGTGCCACACTTGGGCCAGCTAGCGGAGCCAGATGCAGCTAAAGTTGGGTGACCAAGGAGAGTGGTAACTCCTTGACAAGACAGTGTTGGTGCAGCCAACTGAGTGCATCTGAGATGGAGCTGCCTGGATTGCTCAGCAGGCTCAAAGCTAATAGTCTTGAGGACATTAGAAGTGGGACAAGGCTGTGTGTGCATGGGGACACGACTTGTCTGACAGTGAGTGAGCCTGCAGACCCGACATGCAGGACCAAGAAGTGCATCAGGACAAGTGCTGGATGGAGAAAAGGAGTAGCGATGGCACGGTGAGGAAGGGTAAAGGGAAGGGGAGGATAGTCTCCTACCAGCGGCAAATGAGAAGGGGATCCTTGAAATGGGTGTCCTGGCAGCATGTCCTAGCCTGACAACGCTTGGGGCTCCCATCGGGTCTTGGTGCTTCCCTGGCCACTGGGACCTCCTTGGTAGCTACTGAGCTGTTGCAGGTGATGGAGCTATACCATGTTCAGGCAGGGCTGTGGGGATGCCAGTGCTAATGGCTTTGTGCAGGTCTGGCTGGGTGTTGGACTTGCACTAGGCAGGGAGAATCAATCTGGATGAGTCAGGCTGTGGTGGTGGTCCCCAGCTGCATGGTCATCATGTCCCATGAAGAACCAGGGTGAGCCATGTAGTGAGTAGTGAACCTGCTTTGGGCCAGGGCTAAAATCCTTGGTGCAAGCAAGCAAGAGGGTATTTGGAACCAAGACCAGTCCTGGCCACTTGTCTGCAGCATGCTAGAGCCTGTTTGGTGCCACTCAGCCATTCCCCTGGCTTGTGTTTCTGTGTCCAGGATGGCAGTGGCACCCTTCAGCGCAGCAGCTCCCTGGGAAAAATCCGAGATGTCATACGGAGGAGCAGTGAGATGTTGGTCAAGAAACTGCAGGGCAATGGACCCCTGGAGCCCAGAAACACCAGGTAGGGACCGGGACTGTGAAGGCCAGAGTGGGTGGGGGCCAAGCCACCTTGGGGGTTTGAGTCTGGCCAGGCATAACAAGATCACACCTGTTCTCCTCTGTTTTCTTGTAGCATGAAACGAGCTGCATCATTAAATTACCTGCACAAGTCTAGTGATGCTTCATTTGAGGTAAGCAGTGGACAGGTGATGGGGCTGGTGCAGGAATGGGCCCTGGGGTATGGGCAGTGTGGCTACAGGGGCTGCAGCCAGCTACAGAGCTGGTGGGGATCATAGCAGGCCATGTGTGTGATGCCTGAGACCCTGCTGGATGTGTTAATCCATGCAGAAGTGCTTTGCTGCTGTGTAGGGCTGGAGCGACTCTGCCTTCCCAAGGGGTGGGCTGGGTTGGTCTCCCCACTGCACCCTCTAGGCAAGCTGCACTGCCCCCCTTCTGAGGTCATAGCTCCAAAGCTGAAGGTGCTGCCTCCAAGTAATTACCTCCCACTCTGCTTGAGCTCAGCAAACCCTCCAGCCATGGAATGGGAGCAGGTAGGGCAGAGGTGACACCTAACGTTGCTGATAAAGGCACTGAGAAGGGGTGCAGGATACAGGCTGGCAGTTTTGGGGTGTGGTTTGCAGGTACCGGTCCTCACCCGTGATGTATTTTTCAGGGCACCCAGGGCCTCCGCGCAGAGAGCAGAGGTCTCAGTGCCAGCAGCATGGACCTGTCCTCCCACAGCTCCCTGCTCTCCTCCAATTGACCCGCCCACCAGAGACCTGCGCTGCGCCGGGCAGCACTTGCGCCCTTCCCCTGCTCTGTCTTCCCCATCACCGGCTATCGTGCCACTTCTCTGCCTGCCCACCCCGCGGCCCCGGGTGGGCCCCACGGGCGCCGGGAGACCCTAGATAGCTCGGGCATCCCAGCCTGCACGCATGCTCCTCTGCTGCACGCCCAGGGCCAGCAGCTTCGGTGGCAGCACGCTCGGCACCGCTCGCACACGCTAGCCAGGTAGAAATGCCAGCCCGGCGGGAGCGAGGCGGCTTCGGGGGGACGCACC